CCAACTGTTCAAATCGGTAATCAATATGTTGAAACCGATCGTTGAAGGTGGCATCATGTTGTTCATTTACGGCATCTTCTCGTCCCGGCGACATCGCGATCGTACTGACTGCTGATACCAACTGAGGTAGGGAAAAAAAAAAGCTTACGAGTGGGAAAAGATAAAAGGATACAAGGAGATACTCTCTCCAGAACACGGGATACTCTCCCAAAAGAAAACACGATATCTTATTTCATTCAATATCCAACTGCTCGTACAATTTGGCTAGACTGCTAATAAATAGAGTTCAATATCTAGGAGTCCCTAACTTGTCAAACAAGTAAATAAAATATCTTCCTAACCAACTAAATGATAAATAAGAGATAATAATAATAATAATAATAATAATAATAATAATAATAATAATAATAAAACTATTAAACTATCCTCATCATTTCTCATAAGCGCATTCAATCTAAATTAATAGTAATGCATACATATATAATAATAATAATTATTATTTATTATTATTATTATTATTTTCTAAATTTCGAACGTGATTAATGTTACATCCTATACAATGACATGTGGAAATATGAGTTATTCAATCCATTTCATCTCTGAAATAAACTCCAACAATTGTACATCACTCCATATTTAACGTTTGTTTATAGTTTGTTCACACAAAAATAATTCCTCACCTCAAAAAATAGTCCTCTCGAAAGTTAATAAACACTTGTTTGTTGAGTAATTGTTGTTGTTGTTGTTTTTATATTCATATTCATGCTTCAATTATCTGTAAGTACTCTTATATTATCTTATCGTTTATTATTTGGTAAAAAAAAATTTAAACAAATTGATTTATCATAAGCACATTCAATCTAAATTAATAGTAATGCATACATTATTATTATTATTATTATTATTATTATTATTATTATTATTATTATTATTATTATTATTATTATTATTTTCTGAATTTAGAACGTGATTAATATGACATCCTATACAATGACATGTGGGTATATGTGTTACTCAATCCATTTCATCTCTGAAAAATTACTCCAATAATTGCAATTCATTTTCAATTCCAACAAAATAAAAAAGAAAAAAAAAAAAATAGACTGACAGTTAATTGTTGTCATATTCATATCCATGTTTCAGTTATTTGTGGGTACTCTTATATTATCTTATAGTTTATTATTTGTTAAAAATTTTACACAAATTGATTTCTCATTTTCGTATTCGATCTAAATTAATAGTAATGTATACATTATTATTATTATTATTATTATTATTATTATTATTATTATTATTATTATTATTATTATTATTATTATTATTATTATCTGAATTGCAAGACCGAAAAGGGCATCATCCAAGTCGAATAGATAATTGTCAAAGAAATTATTGTAGTTAACTGAAAAAGGACTAGTAACAGAATTAGTTGTAAGTTGTAACAAACAAATCAAATTAGAAATAATGCTTTTGCTAAAATTGGATCGGAATATCACTTGTGAGTTGTCTCACATTGATTTCATAGGGTAAATGAGCCTAGTTTATAAGTTTAGTGAGCTACTCCTCTCATCACCAATTGGTTTTTGAATAGAACCTCATTTGAACTTTATTTGGACTAACTTTCTTGTTGTGCGTTTCACCTTTGTGGAACCCCACTCGTATTTGCCGCTGGTTTGACAATCAGTATAACAACTTTTCATATACATCCTTAACATTATATTTTCAATCCTTATTACAACACTTTCCCCATAATCCTAAATTTACAAAACTGCCCTTCTTCAAAAGAAAAAAGCAAAATCTACACAAACAACAATCGACTTATACGAGAGGTTAGATCGATGAACAAATCCTCACTGCACGGAATTGTAAGGCCGCCCGTTGGATGATGAAACCCGAATTCTTCTTCAGCTTTAAACAACAATTCTTGAAATAAATGATTGTTTAAATATGAAACAGGGATTATAAACCGTTTTTTCTCGTTTTCCCCAACATAAACAGCAAAATGCCCTTTTGGGACCTCAGCTGATCTTTTTTCACCGGATAAAGATCGTCTCAACATTTTTCGGATGGCCATTTTTCGTGTAAAATTTAAATCGAATCCTTTTTTTCTGAAGAAAAAAAAAATCAAAGCAGAGATAGGCTAAATTGTGTTTGAGGACTTAGTTGCTTGGAGCAAAATCCATAAAATGTGTTAGTATATTTATAGAGAATAGTATAAGCTATAAAATATTTAAAGAGTAGATGCATGGAATCACATGCATTTGTCTTTCAAATGCAAATCAACAACTTGTGTGATAGGAAAAATATTGTATCCTACCAACTATACAAAGTCCTTAAAAAGGGCCCTAAGTGCAATTGCAATAAACCCCACATATACATAGAATTTGTGGTGTATGTAGAATATGATT